AAAATGATAATGCATTTTCAGGATGTCTGCAAGATTGTTCTGCTGAACCGCATTTTTGCCACTTTAATTGATTGTTTAAATCCATGATGAATACCCTCATTCTGTAACTGTTTTATCGAAACCTGCAGAAAATCCCTTTCTGACATCCATTGACAGTGTGTCAGTGTGTTCAACTTTTTTGTTGTTGTTGATAAAATGCAGTTTCTGATTATCCTATTCTGCTCTTTGACTCCTTTGTCATCATTACCAAGTGTTATGTTTATAATCGATGCTGCTCATTGTTCGTTATTTTATAAATCAAACAAATTACCTATCATGTCTATGTTCTTGTCCAAACCGTGCTACATGACAAGTCCATCCATTAGTATGTCTCTCTGTCTTATTTTTGCTTGCTTCCCCGGCACATACGCCACTTACAACAAACGTTTCCAGTCAGGTGTCGGCTCGTGATTCATTTTTTTCAAGACGCTATTTTTGTCACTGCGTACGTTCTTGGTGGTGGTGATAAGGACACCAAATATCGTTGTGAAACAACCAAGAATTAATACCAACCCCCCCCCCCCCTTCTTCCCCCCCCCCCAACCTCCCCTCCCCCAAACACAACATGAAAGAAGGCATGTAGTATTTCAACAGCCATGCATGCAAAGAATAGCAGAAAGTTGACTACACTCATTCTTCTTCTCAGCTTTCACCTTCTGTTGGAGCTCCCGTGGTGTAGCGGCTAAAATACCGTTGCGGATAGGAAGATCGTGGGTTCAGACCCTGACGGAGTCAGACGTTTTTCTTCCAAAAATGATATTGGCTCCTCAGTCGACCCGGCTTGAACGGGTACCAGATACAGTCCTGGGAAATTAAGGTAGCTGGCGTGATGTTTACCACATTACCCTCTGAGTCACGGCATTTCCCCCACCCCCTCCCCCTATCCCACACCCCAAGAAAGACTGAGGGAGTTCTTGAAGATTTAGCAATGACATCATGAATGTTTGCAACCTTACAGACATTTATCCAGGTGAGGAGTGGATACCAGCGTCTAAAGCGCCTAATCTCACATTCTCCTGTGTCGTGACGCTCAATAGGAGTTGTCGGGAGCTGAATTCAGCTGCTGTCAAAACCGTGGTATGCGCGCTTATCAGTGACAAGTCAGATGAGACAGATGTGGTGATCTTCACAGACGGGTCCGTTATACGAGGACATAAGAGTGCATGGGCATTTACAGCTCTCTCTTCGGGCAGAACAGTTCAGGAAGCCAGCAGTGTCTTCTCCATGACTACCAGCAGCATGACGATGGAGGTGATGGCAGTGACACAGGCTTTCATGTGGCTGGGATCACAGGACTATTTCTGCGCGTGTGTGTGCTGAGTGATTCTTTGAGCATGATCCGGCGGGACGAGGCATGCTGGTTACGCAGACAGTGGCTTGAGTCGTTGCAAAATTATCCTGTGTGTGCAGTTACTTGCACATTCGTCCCAGGTCAGGCAGGCATTGTTGGTAATGAGAGAACTGTAGTCTGGCAGGTGGTGCATTAATTGAAGATCACGCACACATTGTCATTGCCTTTAGAGAGATAGGACGTTCTGAGGATTTTGGAAGCAGCGTGTCCACATCACTGCGAATTGGGAGTTAAGATCGGCACACCCAAGCATGAGAAGCACACCGGACGCACACAAAGTCTTGTTAATCAACATAGGACTGGTACTATTAACCGCACGACGCTAATGGATATGTTTAGAGGGGAATTTGAGCGCCTATGGATGTGTCCGGAATTGCTGTGAAGATAATTTAACACATAACTCGTAACTCAAAGATATAGCAGGATATGTGCTATTACTGCTTTTCGTCCTTCTTAGGACGTTATTTTTTGTTATTTGAAGCCCCACTCTGGCTTTTGCCAGGGGCCGCAATATAGGCAGGTCAACATTATGGCCAAATGTCTGAACGCGGTTTCTGGGACCTCTCCACGGTGATCCTCATCCGCATGGTGGCACTTTGTGTCATCGGGTGTTTATCGCTTGTGTGATGTCCTGGTGGGGTAAAAAATCCAATCCAATCCTATAGCAGGATGAGCGGGGGTAAAGGGTGGGGGGTGGGGGGGGAATAACAATACAAAGGCATAACATCATGTTCTAAAAACTAAAACGTCTTTCACTAAAACACTGAAAGAAAGAGACTAAACTAGATCAACACATGTTTATTTGTTATTTCCGTGAAAGAACGCAAGAAAAGACAGAAGCTAGTTTATTAGGACAGCTAAAATGTAAAAGCATAAAAGATTGGTTTATCGACATTTCTGAGACGGCTGCCATAAAAGCGAATTTTAACAGACAAATGCTGTTGAATAATGCAGACGGTTCTTGTTTAGACACGTCTATACTTCTAATGTACGCAATAGGCACAGCCAGACAGAAAAGAAGATAGGTTTCTAAAATGTTTCTAGAATTTGTGGGGGGAAAATTATCAAAGAGACTAGCAAAGCTTATTAAATTGAAAGGTTGCAAGAGGAAATTCTGAGGATAAGAAAAGGTGGGGGTGGGGGGGGGGGAGAGGGGGGTAGGGAATAGCAATCTAATGTATGCAATGGTTTCTAAAATTTCTCTATAATTTATGGGGGGAAAACTATCAAGGAGACTAGCAAAGCAAATTAAATTAGAAGGTTGCAAGTTGCAAGGGGAAATTATGAGAATAAGGTTGAGAATATACAACAAGGGGGGAAAAACGAAAATAATTTACAAAAATAGAGTACTTAATATTAGTAAACATTGTCGTTTCCTCAATGACTTTTGCGTGCAATGCAAATGTAATGAAATATAGGCAGAAAGGGGTTAAATGAACAAAGCATACATTTCAGACCACCACACGGCGTAAAATTCCATCACTGTGTGAAATGACAGAAATGGGTGATTAGAAAGCCATGGCCTAGCCAACTATGTAGAACATCTTCATGATAACCGCCATGACATCTGACAGTGAGGGATGAAACATTCGACGAGTGCCCGTGAGCTGTGACCAGCTGAAAAGATACGTTCATCCAAACGTGACCACCAAAGACAGGTGACAGGGGTGTGATTAAGAAGGTACGCCAGAAAGAGCGGGAAAGCGGAAGAATAAAGTTAGCCCCGGAACCGCTTGAGAGGACAGTTAGGACCGGACAGCTTGAGAGACCAGTTGAGAACACCAGTGCTGTACTTCGTTTAGAGGGATATGTTAAACTTGAAGTTTAACTAGAACAGAGAGTTAGCCACGGAACAGCTTGATAGGACAAGTTAGGACCGGACTGCTTGAGAGACCAGTTGAGTAAACTAGTGCTGTACTTCGTTAGAAGGTATATGTTAAACTTGGAGCTTAGCTAGAACAGTGAGTTAGCCACGGAACCGCTTGATAGGACAGATTAGGGCTGAACCACTGGAAAGACCAGTTAGGAGAAAACTAGTGCTTTACTTCGTTTAGAAGGTATATGTTAAACTTGGAGTTTAGCTAGAACAGTGGTTAAGGAACTCGTAGAGATTCATACGAATAGCTTGTATCCAGATAATAAAGTGTTCATATACTATTGCTTATTGAATTTATGAAGCCTGTGTGACGAGAATATTGTAAATAAACCAGCTCTTGTGTAATTGATTACATCACTGGCCTTGTTCTTGAATACGATTGAAGAGAGCTACGAACTATATTCATTCAACTTGACCGAATTAGGCACATCTATTTCTTGGGGAATGTATAGGCACGACTGTGCCACACAAATTGGGTGGGGGGGGGGGGGGCACTATATGGGGCTTTAAATGCACGACTCTATCCCACGGCAGTTCTCTGATTCTTGTATGACATGCCAACTCAACTCAACACTCGCAACATTGACCAAAAGACTCGAAGGTGATAATAATCTAAGCTGCACCCGCATAAATCAAGTCTTAGGGGATGGAATTATGAACCGTTAACGATATCATCACATCGAATAATTGTACTTCACAAGTAAAACTAAAGGACCCTTTTCACAGTCCTCTAGGCGTATTGAACATTTAGCAAAGTAAAAAGTAAAGTAAAGATCCCTTTTCAAGACTTTAGGAGCATCGGGCAAATGAGAGAAGCACCCATATTTCTACAGACCAATCGGCACTCGGTGGGTAATGCGACCAGCATTACGCCGGCTGCCTTTACTTCCTCAGGACAGCCATTCTGGTACTTAATTGAGGTTAGGTCGACCTGCGACGTCCCATACCACGATAAAAATCCACGCAGCCAGCAGTGGGTTTCGATCGCGGTACATTGGAATTACGAGTCGGACTCGCAAAGCCTTAGCCACGGACCCCGCTGAACATACAGTGCTATAACTAACTATATTTGATACCCACTCGGTGGGTGATATAGTCTGCCTTTACTTCACAAGGCTTTACCTGGCACCCATTCTAGAAAGTGTCGACTTGGGAGCAAAAGTCATTTTGAAAAAAAAAAAAGTCCGGAACTGTTTGGAATTGAACCAACACATTGTGGATCTGCAGGCTGTCGTCTGACCTCCACACCGCGACGACTCCTTATTGTTAGTACAGAGGTATTTTAAGTATAGATTAGCTAGCTGCGACCATTTCAAGTCGCTTATCAGTAATTATATTTTGTGTGGTATATGCAGTCGGTCGGCTGTGTGGCTAAGTTGATGCCAACGCTTCGTAATGCCGGGATGCCAGGTTCGATCCCAGCTGCGGGCCATGGTTTCGACATTGGTATCAAGAAAGTCGACCGTCCAGAAGCAATGACAAACTACTGGATGTATATTTGCCTAGAAAAACCACACAACCGCCAGAGGCTGTTGGGGTTGGCTCTGCAACGTTCTGTAAAGAATACGCAACTAACCTATATGCAGTCGTTTGCGGTAAAATAATTCATTCTTTTTAATACAATTAACAAACACACAGAAACTACACACCCTTTATTAGTAACAATATTAAAACTAACAATAAATTTACATGTAACAAATACAGTTTTTTAGAAATCAATATACTAGGACACACAAATGACTCTTTGCAGCTTACCTTTCGAAAAATGAAGATGATCTGTCACAACGATAGCTCGCCTAAATCTCTCCAGCACCAAATGATCGTCCACGACAACTTGATCTGTTTGTGACGACAAAACGCTTTTCTCAGTGGCTGTATCCACGCCGATGAATCTGAAGCCATTTATGGCTAGGATCGCAAGTGTATAAGCCACAAAAATATACACCAATCGGTGCAGTTTCTTATTGCACTTTCTCCTCCAAGGGTAGGAAATAGACATGCCTTCTGGATCAAACTGACCGCACACCAAACTCGCACTGACTCTATTCGTTAGTGAAGGTTTACATTCTGCTCTCCGCGTTCGTGAAGTGTAATCACCAGCGAGAGACGGAAGCATAGAGTTCAAATAAGTATTAGCAGAGCTGTCTGTTGTTGTGTCACTGTAGTTAGGTCTGGTGTTTGGTGAGCGACTATCGACAACACCGGATTCGACATTTAAATGAGGTAGACCTGCAGATGATGCACACACATGAGAACCTTTGTCCGTTGACATGTTATAGGTTTTTCTGGGCAGTTATAAGTCTGAAATGTAAAACCACAAATTAAAAAAATTTCTTTAAAAAAAAAAAAAAAAAATAGTGTAATCGACCCTGTTTTTAAAGTTATCTCATGCCTCTATGTGTTCAATGATTTACTGTTGCTCTGAAAGTTAATACTTATGTCAGTATTAAAGAAAAACATTCGCAAAACTAAAATCCCATAATGCTGACGTGGAATCGTGGTTGTGGAGATTGTGACACATACTCCGATACTCTCAACCCACATACGTTGACCAGTTTGAATATCACAATATACAATTACGAGGCAAACGAGCGGGTACTCACGCCCAGACAAACACCCAGTCAAGTGATAATAATATGGGAGATAATCAAGTAACTGAGCAATGAGATCTTATCTCACATTGTTCTGACACCGACCTAGTCATTATGGAGGGGGTCAGTGCCAAAATCAATGTGTCAGTATCAGGAAACGGCAGGGTGTTCACGTATATATATCATAAATTTTCAGAATTGTTGAAATATGCTATCACAGTTATTAATATATGACAGAAGCGTTAACATTTCTACAGAAATGTCAAATTGTTGGGGAACCTTTAAGGCAGTAACTTACCATGTAAAACAATTTCATACGCATTGAACTGCAAATAAATGAAAAAGAAAGAAAACAGATAGGAAGGCATCCATAACAATCCAAACTTCAATTGTAATTAAGACCGCATTGTGAATGGAAACTGCTCCTGTCAGTGCATCAGAGCCTCTTTAAAAAAAAGCTTTTCTCAGTGCACAGCAGACTAGATGTATACTTGGGAAAAGTCCTGTCATCTAGATTTGTAGTTTCTAACCTTTCTTTGGTGGCTCCTCCATTGAGTTTCTGCCAGGACTCCACCCCGCCCCCGACCCCTCTTTCTATTTTTAACATAGAAGAAAGTGATTAGAAAGGGAAGAAACTGAAATAATGTTAACAAGGACTTTAGGAAAAACTCCCCCATTATGTATGGTTTTAACCCACATCATTCGAAGTATCAAGGAACAAAAGAAACCATCACCAACAACTTTAGTGTCCAAATATCAGTGCTATTTTTTACACTGTTCTGACTTGATGATATCTTCTGCTTTTGATCTGATGCTGGACAAGCCACAACGCAAATCACTCTCCACTCCAAGCTGGTAGTTCTTTTTCGTGCTCATGACAATTAAACCTGATAATGTTGATTGGGGAGGGGGCTGTGTGGTTCCGAGGCAAGATGTTCACCTCGAGTGCTAGAGGTTCCTGGTTTAATTTCCGGTAAGACCTGGGGGTTTTCCACGTGGACTGGGACTTTTAGTAAAACCTCCTGGTATCTGGCTAGTGAGACCGGACGCTTGTGTGCATTGTTGAGCACGCAACAACAACAACAACAACAACAACAACAACAACAACAAAAATCCAGTGGCAGTTGGAAATTGAAAAAAGTAGCCTAACGGCCCTGGGTTAAAATGTGGAGTTAAAAATCGATCCAAAGTATTTCAGGATCCCCGCCAGTGCTATAGAGCCTGTGCAATGTGAACAGCTTCTTCGGACTCTGACTTGATTTAGAAGAAAGAAGGGAGCACTTATGTGTTACTACTTGTGTGCCTTGATTTTTATCCGTTGTTGAAACCTCAAACCTTAAATGCTAATAATTACAGGTGAAAATGTAATCAATTTCAAAATTTCTTGACGCCCTGTTATAAACTTTCTCACCCTCCCCAAGGGGGTTTGCCCCTTTCCCACTTCCAGACTGAAGACCACTGATCCACATGGACACAAAAGGGAAACATTGGCTTACTCTCCAAGGAAGCAGAACTGGTCTTGCAGTGGATACCAGCCCACTGTGGTATTCAAGGAAATGAAAGAGCAGAGGAGTTGGCAAAAGCTGGGAGTAATCTTCTACAACCTCATCCATCACACAGCTACAAAGAAACCAAAACAGCGCTAAAGCAGTCTTTCAAGCGGAAGTGGAGAAGGCAGAATGGAGATTACAGACCAGAGAGTGACAGCTTAAACAAACTCAACAGTAAAGAACAAACATCAATTTTTAGACTTCGGACTGGACACTGTAGTCTTCGAGCACACCTGTACAGGATAGGCATAACAGAATCTGCTTCCTGTGATTGTGGAGCAGAAAGACAGACCGCTGAGCACATACTGCAGTACTGCCCTTACCTCTTCCAGCAAAGACTGTGGATCTGGCCCAGGGGAGCCACATTGCGAGAAAAGCTATGTGGGACCGGTGGCGACCTTAAATGCACAATCCTATTTGTGACCCAGACGGGACTCAATGTTTAGCATGAGTGATGTCAAATGCAGAAGAAGAAGAAAAAGGCATAATTTGTATCAAGACATTTAAATAGCACACCAAGGCTTCAGATATGTGTATCAAGATAGGTCAAAGACGACGTCTGTGGCTTAGGCGTTGCCGACAAGCTTCGCAATGCCAGGGTGCCGGGTTCGATCCAAGCTATGGGCGATGTGTCTTGGATTGGTTTAGACAGTGGGACCGGAAGCTGCCCTTTTAGTAAGCAATGACAAACTTTTGAACGGAAAATTTGCCTAGAAAGAAAAAAACAAAAACAAAAACAACCTCACAACAATTGAAAATGCAGGGTTTCTGCTACAACCTGTAATGTATACGCAACTAATTTTAAATCTGTTGTAAAATCATCATAATGCGGCTTGAAAAAGGAGTAGATAAAGGCCTACAAGTGGAACAAGCGGATTCAGAAAGGGCAGAGGAACAGCTGAGCATATCTTTACTCCTCGTACGATTTTAGAACAATGCATTGAATGGCAGAGAAGTATATAATAATTTTGAGAAAGCTTTTGACAGCGTCCATAGAGACAGCCTCTGGAAAATTTTACGACATTATGGAATTCCAAAAAAGATAGTCAACATAATTGCTCTCTTCTATAAAGACCTTTCCTGCGGTATAACAAATTACATCTTTCCCAGTAAAGACAGGTGTATGACAGGGGTGTGTTATGCCATCTCTCCTCTTGAACTTTGTGATTGATTGAATACTAAAGGACACAGTAGACACGACATTATGATGCATACGATGGACTCCATTCACCATGCTTAGGGACCTTGATTTTGCAGATTATAAAGCCCTCTAATCACACAAACATGAACGTATACAAGAGAAAAGTAACAGACCAGGACTGCAGCTGGTACCCATTGAAGGCTGGGTCGACCTGGAAGCCAATGTCATTTTTGAAAGAAGTCAAAATTAATCAGGTTTTAAACCAGCGATCTTCCGGTCCGCAGGCAAGCGTCTAGCCGCTACACGATGGCGAATCCCGTCTGTTACAGCAAAGCTGAAAATATTATGCCTGCAGTGTTTCGGTTTAGCTTACCGTTGCATAACCGCCGAAAAAAACAACAACATTGCACACACAGACATTGTATGCCTTACATTCAAAAATGTTTCGATGGACATAGCGCGTTTGCAGTTTTGAACATTACAAGTAGTTATGAGGGATGCACACGCTTTCAAAGTCACATTTTTTCTTTTAATTGGAAGAAGTTAATCTATACCAAATTTTACACACACACACACACACACACACACACACACACACACACACACACACACATACATACATACACACACACACACATATTCACACACACATATTCACACACACACACACACAAACACACAAATAAAAAAATGCAGATTGCTAGATCACACGAGTTGCGTTCAAGGTTAATAAATACCAGACTACGCCTGTGACGTTAAAAGCATGAAAATAATTATGGCAATTCGTAGCGTTAATAGTTACATTTGCTTGAGGATATCCGTAGCGTTTCAAGCTGGAAAAAAGTAATAGAGATTTCACGTTGCACACAGCTGAAGACAAACTAAAGTGTGTCAAACAGAAAAAAAAAAAAAGGAAGGAATAAAAAAGGGAGAAACATACCAACGTAACGTGTATTTTCTTCTTCTTCTCTTCCACCTTTTACCTCATCGAAGTTTCGGGGGGAGATGTAATGTTCGTTGATGAGCTCTGTCAAGAGCACAATTAAGACCTATGCTCATTTCTGTAAGGCTGTTCTTAATGCCATCACTCCATATTTCCCGAGGTCTTCCACTCGCTCTATACCCGTTGTAACGTTTTAGTGTGGCTCGCTGTGGCGGATAGTACCAGGGCATTCTTGTCAGGTGTCCAAACCACTTCATTTGTTGTTCTTTGATGACCTGTAAGACTTGCTTTGTTCTTAGCATTCGTATGATTTCATGCTTTCGTATTCTGTCTTTCCATGAAACTCCTACAGCTCTTCTAACGCATTTCCTCTCTGTTGTCACAATTTTACGTTCATTAGAGGATGTAAGTGTTCACGTTTGGCATTGATAGCATAGTTTTGGCCAAAAAATATTTCTGATAAGATTCACTTTAGTACTCCGACGTGCTGTTTATTGTTGCTAGGGTTGTACCGAATAGTGATTTTCACTATTCGGCCGAATACGAATAGCTGGACCAACTATTCGGCCGAATATGAATCATCATCATCAGGTGCTTTCTGACTGGCATGGGCGATTATGCCTCGCCACAATCTGCGATCTCCTGCAGCATAATTTAGTTCGTGTGCTGAGACACCTCCATGCCATGCAACAAGACTATCAAGAATCTTCTCTCGTTGTCTTCCTCTATTCCTTCTTCCACAGATCTTCCCAATGGTCACCACATGTTCAATTTTCCCTCCTCTTATAACATAGCCGAAAATGATGACTGTCTCCTTCTGATGTCTGTGAGTAGTTGTCTTCGGGCACTCGCCTCTTTCAAAACATCTTGGTTGCTTTGGGGTGGGGGGGGGGGGGGGGGGGGGGAGGGGGGGGGAGGGCGGCTGTCCAAGTTATTTTTAGCATTGTTCTGTAAAACAACATCTTTGAGGCCTCAAGCAATTTTTATCCTGCAATCCGATTGTCCAGGACTCACAGCCATATATTAAAACTGGGTGTATGTAGCAAG